GTTTTATATTTATTATTTTATTATTATTTGTTGTTTCCCTTCAACGTGACTTTACCGAAAAAACTAAGAATATGGTAATAATAATGTTTCGTGTTTTTCTTTAACTTGAGATTTTAAACGATTTGTATTTCCTCTCTCTCTCTCCCCTTGATTTGTATTGGCTTTGCCTTTTTTTAAAATTCGTTTATTTATTTATTCTTTTGCAAATAAAAACATCAAAACAACAACAATAACAACAACAATAATAATAACATATGCTTAGTTTTTTCGGTAAAGTCACAACAACAATAACAACAACAACGATAACAATAATAATAATAACGTATCCTTAGTTTTTTCGGTAAAGTCACCACGTCGAAACAACAAAATAATAAAATATTTATAAAACAATAAAAAAATTCTCACGACGTTTCGACCATAACTCAAACGCACCTGAAGACGCCCGTTTGAGTTATGGTCGAAACGTCGTGAGAATTGTGTTTATTGTTTTATATTTATTATGTTATTATTTTGTTGTTTCTCTTCAACGTGGTGGTGACTTTACCGAAAAAAAACTAAGAATATGAATTACTGCAGTCACGAAAGCTTTAAATCAAAACAACAACAATAATAATAACAACATCGGCTTTTTCCCACTTTTTTTCCTCGCCAACAAAACTTACAACTTTTTTTAAACGGAGGATTCATGTTTACCGCGTTAACCACAATACCTGCAGTCTAAATGCAACCACAAAACAACAACCACAACAACAACAACACACACACACACACTATGATAATATAATATTTACGTGAGCTACTGTCCTTGACACTGATTGGTCCACCACGCCCAAGGGACAGATTTCTTTTGAGCCTCGATCCAATTGGTGCTCGGCCAGATGGACGTCAAAACTCGTCAACACAGCTCAAAGCCGATGCCGCTAGTAAAGTAACTAGAGGCTCGGGGTGAGCATCATCATCATCATTATCACACCTCCTTTGCCAATACCAAAGTGTAATAATAATAATAATAATTGGGGGTTTTACCACTTTTTATAGCAACAAAACTTTAACTTTTTGTGATGAGGATTCATGTCTACTGCATTAACCACAATGTCACTTGCTCACCCACTCACTCACTCACTCACCCACTTTCTCACCCACCCACTCACTTACTCAACCACTCACTCACTCACCCACCCACTCACTCACTCACCCACCCACCCACTTACCTACCCACTCACTCACCCACTCACTCACCCACTCACTCACTCACCCACTCACCCACCCACCCACTCACCCACTCACTCACCCACCCACTCACTCACCCACTCACTCACTCACTCACCCACTCACTCACCCACTCACTCACTCACCCACTCACTCACTCACTCACCCACTCACTCACCCTCTCACTCACTCACCCACCCACCCACTCACCCACTCACTCACCCACCCACTCACTCACCCACTCACTCACTCACCCACTCACTCACTCACCCACTCACTCACTCACCCACTCACCCACCCACTCACTCACCCACTCACTCACCCACCCACCCACTCACTCACTCACCCACCCACTCACTCACCCACTCACCCTCTCACCCACCCACTCACTCACTCACCCACCCACCCACTCACTCACCCACTCACTCACCCACTCACTCACTCACCCACTCACCCACTCACTCACCCACTCACCCACTCACCCACTCACCCACCCACTCACCCACTCACCCACTCACTCATCCACCCACCCTCCCACCCACTCACCCACCCACTCACCCACTCACCCACCCACCCACCCACCCACTCACCCACTCACCCACTCACCCACCCACCCTCCCACCCACTCACCCACTCACCCACCCACTCACCCACTCACCCACCCACCCTCCCACCCTCCCACCCACTCACCCACCCACTCACTCACCCACTCACCCACTCACTCACTCACTCACCCACCCACCCACTCACACACACACCCACTCACCCTCTCACCCACCCACCCACTCACTCACCCACCCACCCACTCACTCACCCACTCACCCACCCACTCACTCACCCACTCACTCACCCACTCACTCACCCACCCACTCACTCACCCACCCACTCATCCACTCACCCACTCACCCACCCACCCTCCCACTCACCCACCCTCCCACTCACTCATCCACCCACCCTCCCACCCACTCACCCACCCACTCACCCACTCACCCACTCACCCACCCACCCACCCACTCACCCACTCACCCACTCACCCACCCACCCACTCACCCACCCACCCACTCACCCACTCACCCACCCACCCACTCACCCACCCACCCACTCACCCACTCACCCACCCACCCTCCCACCCACCCACCCACTCACTCACTCACCCACCCACCCACTCACCCACCCACTCACTCACCCACTCACCCACTCACTCACTCACTCACCCACCCACCCACCCACTCACTCACTCACCCACTCACCCTCTCACCCACCCACCCACTCACTCACCCACCCACCCACCCACTCACTCACTCACCCACCCACCCACTTACCTACCCACTCACTCACCCACTCACTCACCCACTCACTCACTCACCCACTCACCCACCCACCCACTCACCCACTCACTCACCCACCCACTCACTCACCCACTCACTCACTCACTCACCCACTCACTCACCCACTCACTCACTCACCCACTCACTCACTCACTCACTCACTCACCCACTCACTCACCCTCTCACTCACTCACCCACCCACCCACTCACCCACTCACTCACCCACCCACTCACTCACCCACTCACTCACTCACTCACCCACTCACTCACCCACTCACTCACTCACCCACTCACTCACTCACCCACTCACCCACCCACTCACTCACCCACTCACTCACCCACCCACTCACTCACTCACCCACCCACTCACTCACCCACTCACCCTCTCACCCACCCACTCACTCACTCACCCACCCACCCACTCACTCACCCACTCACTCACCCACTCACTCACTCACCCACTCACCCACTCACTCACCCACTCACCCACTCACCCACTCACCCACCCACTCACCCACTCACTCATCCACCCACCCTCCCACCCACTCACCCACCCACTCACCCACTCACCCACCCACCCACCCACCCACTCACCCACTCACCCACTCACCCACCCACCCTCCCACCCACTCACCCACTCACCCACCCACTCACCCACTCACCCACCCACCCCCCCACCCACCCACCCACTCACCCACCCACTCACTCACCCACTCACCCACTCACTCACTCACTCACTCACCCACCCACTCACTCACTCACCCACTCACCCTCTCACCCACCCACCCACTCACTCACCCACCCACCCACTCACTCACCCACTCACCCACCCACTCACTCACCCACTCACTCACCCACTCACTCACCCACCCACTCACCCACCCACCCACCCACTCATCCACTCACCCACTCACCCACCCACCCTCCCACTCACCCACCCTCCCACTCACTCATCCACCCACCCTCCCACCCACTCACCCACCCACTCACCCACCCACCCACTCACCCACCCACCCACCCACTCACCCACTCACCCACTCACCCACCCACCCACCCACTCACCCACTCACCCACCCACCCACTCACCCACTCACCCACCCACCCTCCCACCCTCCCACCCACTCACTCACTCACCCACCCACCCACTCACCCACCCACTCACTCACCCACTCACCCACTCACTCACTCACTCACCCACCCACCCACCCACCCACCCACTCACTCACTCACCCACCCACTCACCCTCTCACCCACCCACCCACTCACTCACCCACCCACCCACTCACTCACCCACTCACCCACCCACCCACTCACTCACCCACTCACTCACCCACTCACTCACCCACCCACTCACCCACCCACCCACTCATCCACTCACCCACTCACCCACCCACCCTCCCACTCACCCACCCTCCCACTCACTCATCCACCCACCCTCCCACCCACTCACCCACCCACTCACCCACTCACCCACTCACCCACCCACCCTCCCACCCACTCACCCACTCACCCACCCACCCACTCACCCACTCACCCACCCACCCTCCCACCCTCCCACCCACTCACTCACTCACCCACTCACTCACCCCCCCACTCACTCACCCACCCTCCCACCCACCCTCCCACCCACCCACTCACTCACTCACCCACCCATCCTCCCACCCACTCACCCACCCACTCACCCACTCACCCACTCACCCACCCACCCTCCCACCCTCCCACCCACTCACTCACCCACCCACCCACCCTCCCACCCACCCACCCACCCACCCTCCCACCCACCCACCCACCCACCCACCCACCCTCCCACCCACCCACCCTCCCACCCACCCTCCCACCCACCCACCCACCCTCCCACCCACCCACTCACCCACCCACTCACTCACCCACCCACCCACCCACTCACTCACCCACCCACCCACCCACTCACCCACTCACTCACTCACCCACCCACCCACCCACCCTCCCACCCACCCACCCACCCACTCACTCACTCACTCACCCACTCACTCACCCACTCACTCACCCACTCACTCACCCACTCACCCACCCTCCCACTCACCCACCCACTCACCCACTCACCCACCCACCCTCCCACCCACTCACTCACCCACCCACTCACTCACCCACCCACCCACTCACTCACCCACCCACCCTCCCACCCACCCTCCCACCCACCCACTCACCCACCCACCCACTCACTTACTCACTCACCCACTCACTCACCCACCCACTCACCCACTCACCCACCCACCCACTCACTCACCCACTCACTCACCCACCCACCCCACTCACTCACTCACTCACCCACTCACTCACCCACCCTCCCACCCACCCACCCACTCACCCACTCACCCACTCACTCACTCACCCACTCACTCACCCACTCACCCACCCACCCACCCTCCCACTCACTCACTCACCCACTCACACTCCCACCCACTCACCCACCCACCCACCCAGATGCCACCACCGAATCAGCTTCCAGCACCGGATCAGCCGTTCCCTCTACCCACCCAGAGGGAGGAATCATCAATCCCTCGGGCCGGCTCCAACTCCAACTGGGTCTACCCCTCAGAGCAGATGTTCTGGAATGCCATGCTACGGAAAGGGTGAGACTCCCTGTCTCTGTGTCTCTGTGTGTGTCTATCTGTGTGTCTCTGTGTGTCTCTCTGTCTCTCTGTGTCTCTGTGAGTTTCTGTGTGTCTCTGTGTCTGTGTGTGTCTGTGTGTCTCCAACTGGGTCTACCCCTCAGAGCAGATGTTCTGGAATGCCATGCTACGGAAAGGGTGAGACCCTGTCTCTGTGTCTCTGTGTGTGTCTATCTGTGTGTCTCTGTGTGTCTCTCTGTCTCTCTGTGTCTCTGTGAGTTTCTGTGTGTCTCTGTGTCTCTGTGTGTCTGTGTGTCTCCAACTGGGTCTACCCCTCAGAGCAGATGTTCTGGAATGCCATGCTACGGAAAGGGTGAGACCCTGTCTCTGTGTCTCTGTGTGTGTCTATCTGTGTGTCTCTGTGTGTCTCTCTGTCTCTCTGTGTCTCTGTGAGTTTCTGTGTGTCTCTCTGTGTCTGTGTGTCTCTGTGTGTCTCTCCAACTGGGTCTACCCCTCAGAGCAGATGTTCTGGAATGCCATGCTGCGGAAAGGGTCAGACTCCCTGTCTCTGTGTCTCTGTCTGTGTGTGTGTGTCTCTGTGTGTCTCTGTGTGTGTGTGTGTCTCTGTGTGTCTCTGTGTGTCTCTGTGTGTCTCCAACTGGGTCTACCCCTCAGAGCAGATGTTCTGGAATGCCATGCTACGGAAAGGGTCAGACTCCCTGTCTCTGTGTCTCTGTGTGTGTCTATCTGTGTGTCTCTGTATGTCTCTGTGTGTGTGTGTGTCTCTGTGTGTCTCTGTGTGTCTCTGTGTGTCTCTGTGTGTGTGTGTGTCTCTGTGTGTCTCTGTGTGTCTCTGTGTGTCTCTGTGTGTCTCTGTGTGTCTCTGTGTGTGTGTGTCTATGTGTGTCTCTGTGTGTCTCTGTGTGTCTCTCCAACTGGGTCTACCCCTCAGAGCAGATGTTCTGGAATGCCATGCTACGGAAAGGGTGAGACCCTGTCTCTGTGTCTCTGTGTGTGTCTATCTGTGTGTCTCTGTGTGTCTCTCTGTCTCTCTGTGTCTCTGTGAGTTTCTGTGTGTCTCTGTGTCTGTGTGTGTCTGTGTGTCTCCAACTGGGTCTACCCCTCAGAGCAGATGTTCTGGAATGCCATGCTGTGGAAAGGGTCAGACTCCCTGTCTCTGTGTCTCTCTGTGTCTCTCTCTGTCTCTCTGTGTCTCTGTGAGTTTCTGTGTGTCTCTGTGTCTGTGTGTGTCTGTGTGTCTCTGTGTCTGTGTGTCTCTGTGTGTCTCTCCAACTGGGTCTACCCCTCAGAGCAGATGTTCTGGAATGCCATGCTACGGAAAGGGTCAGACCCTGTCTCTGTGTCTCTGTGTGTGTCTATCTGTGTGTCTCTGTGTGTCTCTCTGTCTCTCTGTGTCTCTGTGTGTCTCTGTGTGTGTGTGTGTCTCTGTGTGTCTCTGTGTCTCTGTGTGTCTCCAACTGGGTCTACCCCTCAGAGCAGATGTTCTGGAATGCCATGCTGCGGAAAGGGTGAGACTCCCTGTCTCTGTGTCTCTGTCTGTGTGTGTGTGTCTCTGTGTGTCTCTGTGTGTGTGTGTGTCTCTGTGTGTCTCTGTGTGTCTCTGTGTGTCTCTGTGTGTGTGTGTGTCTCTGTGTGTCTCTGTGTGTCTCTGTGTGTCTCTGTGTGTGTGTGTGTCTCTGTGTGTCTCTGTGTGTCTCTGTGTGTCTCCAACTGGGTCTACCCCTCAGAGCAGATGTTCTGGAACGCCATGCTGCGGAAAGGGTCAGACCCCTGTCTCTGTGTCTCTCTGTCTGTGTGTCTCTGTGTCTCTGTCTCTCTGTGTCTGTGTGTCTCTGTGTCTCTGTGTGTCTCTGTGTGTCTCTCCAACTGGGTCTACCCCTCAGAGCAGATGTTCTGGAATGCCATGCTGCGGAAAGGGTCAGACTCCCTGTCTCTGTGTCTCTGTCTGTGTGTGTGTGTCTCTGTGTGTCTCTGTGTGTGTGTGTGTGTCTCTGTGTGTCTCTGTGTGTCTCTGTGTGTGTGTGTGTGTCTCTGTGTGTCTCTGTGTGTGTGTGTCTATGTGTGTCTCTGTCTCTGTGTGTCTCTGTGTCTCTGTGAGTCTCTCTGTGTCTCTGTGAGTCTCTGTGTGTCTCTGTGTGTCTCTCTGTCTCTCTGTGTGTCTCTGTGTCTCTGTCTGTGTCTCTGTGTGTCTCTGTGTGTCTCTGTGTCTCTCTGTGTCTCTGTGTGTCTGTGTGTGTCTCTGTGTGTCTCCAACTGGGTCTACCCCTCAGAGCAGATGTTCTGGAATGCCATGCTGCGGAAAGGGTCAGACCCCTGTCTCTGTGTCTCTCTGTCTCTGTGTCTCTGTGTCT